GAGGAGAGGAGAGGAGAGGAGAGGAGAGGAGAGGAGAGGAGAGGAGAAGAAGGAAAAGAAGTCTTATTAGCATCCATCTCAGTGCTGTTTGAGATGGGAAAGATGGTTTAAAGGTGCAGCAAATTTGAAAAGTAAAAGTCCTTTGGTCTTCTTTGCCCATCTCCTCCCAAGTTGTTCTTCCAGAGCACAGAGAACGTCTCCAGTGGCTTGGTTTTAGTTTTTGTTTGTTTGGGCTCAGAGTTTTTGTTGGTGGCAGTGACTCAAAAACTTTATTTTTCCGGTACTAGCCTTCAACTCCTGATCTCCTCTTTCTACCTTCTGTGCCACTGTGCCCCACTGGCTCATATCATGTTAACATCCCTAGTGAAGCTCTCAGAAAGTTCTCCAAGGACACTTAAGCTTACCTCAATCTATGCAACATTTGCTGAATCCCTACTCTGTGCTCCTCTTTTTGCTGGTCATCGAGTTATAGAACCCTTGGCCTCTGGGATGCTAAGTCACCCGTCTACATACTTGACTGCTCCTCTAGCCCCTTCAGTCATGATAAAAGGGTTTCTTTCTTCATCTGGGCACATGGCTTTCAAGTCTGAAGACAAATCCCCCTGTTTCAGTTACAGTTGGAAGAGGCCATGTGTCTAAACTCAGACCCAAAGGAATAGAAGCAGAAATCTGTAACTGGAGGCTTCTCTCCCACCCACCAGTTCCCAAATAACCACTCTAAGGCTTACTATTAATTACAAACAATTTGGCCTATTAGTTCAGACTTATTAATAACTAGCTCTGGCAACTTAACCCATTTTTATTATTCTATGTTTTACCATGAGCCTCATGCCTTGTTACCTCACATATTTCTTTTCTGGTGGCTGCTAGCAGCTCCCTCATCTCTGCCTTCTTTTTCCCTTTATCTTTGCTTGGATTTCCTGCCTGTCTCTATTCTGCCTGGCTATTGGCCAAATCAGCCTCTCTATTAACCAGTGGTAATAAGACATATTCACAGCATACAGAGGGGCATCCCATATCAAAACTTACGTATCTGCTTCTAGCAGCATGCCAGTAAAGACATCAAGGCAGAAGCCCACTGTCAGTCTTGAGCATTCTGTTGTCCTGCTGCCTGGAGCTTGTCTGCTGACAACCTGAACTTACACCAACAGAGCGGTGAGATGGAAACAGTCTGCATCCTTGACATAGGGGTTCTCCACCAGCCCCGGACCCCTACCCAGACTTCAGGGTGGGGATTTACCTGCCATCTATTTTTAAGCCATGTATATAATGTATGGTGGTTTGAATGAGAATGGCCCCAGCAGGCCATTTGAATGTTTGTTTACCAATTGGTAGGCTGTTTAGGAAGGATTAAGAGGTGTGGCCTTGTTGGAGGAGGTGTGCCACTGCAGGTGGACTCTGTGATTTCAAAAGGCTGTGGTAGGGCCCATCTCTCTCTCTCTCTCTCTCTCTCTCTCTCTCTCTCTCTCCCTCCCTCCCTCCTTCCCTCCCTCCTCCCCTCTGCATGTGTATCAGGATGCTTTTTTTTTTAAAGATTTATTTATTTATTATGTGTACAGCATTCCATCCATGTGTGCCCACATGCCAGAAGGGGGCGCCAGGTCTCATTACAGATGACTGTGAGCCACCATGTGGTTGCTGGGAATTGAACTCAGGGCCTCTGGAAGAGCAGCCAGTACTCTTAACCACTGAGCCATCTCTCCAGCCCTGGGATAAAAAAATTTTTAGCTATTGCTTCAGCATCATGCATGTCTGTCTTTCACCACACTCCCTGTCATGATGGCCATGGGCTCACTCTCTAAAACCATAAGCAAGCTTCTAGTTGATGCTTTCTCTGATAAGTTGCATTCACAGCAATAGAACAGTAACTAAGACACTCTGGTTGTTTTAGATTCATTTTTTATGCTTGGATGGTTGACTTTGGGTTCTGTAAATCAAACCGCAAACCTTACAAATGCTAAGTGTGCCCTGTGTACTGTCTACCAATGACTAACACCCCACACCCTGTTTTCAGGCTTTATGACACTAGGGGCAATTTCTCACTAGTACAACATACAAGACAAAGTTCTCAGCCTGTGGGAGTTGAGCCTCCAATTCTGAAAAGAATACAGCAGGCTGACGTTGTCCCTGCCTTGTGGACAACGCAGGAAAGGCATCAGGGATTGGGGCTGTAACTCCATGGCAGAGCACTTGTTTACCGTTGGTGAGGCCCTGGACTTAATTCTCAATACTGCAACAAGCTGAAGACCATGCATGGCCAGCTACTAGGAGACGGAAGCAGAAGGACTGCGGAACTCACGGGGCTACAGAATTAGTTCAAGGCCAGTGTGGGCGACTTAGGGAGACAGTGTCTCAAAATTAAGGGTACGAAAAGAGAACTGGATGGAGGCCAGAGGAGCTCAGCAGCTAAAAGTGCACACTGCTCCTCAGAGGATCTGAGTGGACTCCCAGCATTCACATCATCAGGAGGCAGCTTAGGGCTCCTCTAACTCCAGCTCCAGGAGATCTGATGCTTCTGACCCCTGGGGGCACCTGCACACACATGTCACACACTCACACAGACGTATACATACACAAATGATTAAAGGTAAGATAAGCCAGGTGTGGTGGTGCACGACTTTAATCCCAGCACTCGGGAGGCAAAGGCAGGTGGATCTCTGTGAGTCTGAAGCCAGCCTGGTCTACAAAGCAAGTTCCAAGACAGTCAAAGCCACAGAGAAACCCTGTCTTCAAGGGGGGGGGGAAAAAGCAAAATAAGCTGGATGTGGTGGTGCATACCTTTAATCCCAGCACTTGTAAGGCAGAAGCAGATGGATCTCTGTGAGCCTGAGGCCAGCTTGTAGCAAGCTGTTGGAAGCCAGGACTATATAAAGAAATCTTTTCTCAATTTTTAAAAAATATAGCAAACGAAATCTTAGAAAGAGAAAAGGAGAGAGGTGGAGAGGGAAAGAGTGGGAGGGAGGGAGAGAAAGAAAAAAGTATGTGCACATAAGCAGGGGATTTTATAGCGAGTGCTCACTTAGCATGCATGAGACCCTATGTTCAATCCTTACTAATGTGTAGCTATAAAGCCCTAGCTGGCCTGAAACTCACTAAACAAATCAAGCTGACCTCAAACTTGCAGGAATCCTCCTGTCTCTGCCTCTGGAGTATTGAGATGACAGCATGGGCCATCAAACAATGTTTATTAAATCTGGGACCCCATTCCAGAGGCCACCTACACCCACCTTGGTTCGGACTCTCTGGAAACGACACGTACAGACACACCAAAGCATGCCCTAGGTGACACTTTTCTTTCCTTCTTTCTTGTCTTTTCGGGTTTATTTTCTTTTGATGAGTGTTTCACCTGCTTGCTTGCATGTGCACCATGGGCTCGCCTAGAGCCTGGAAATGGGAGAAGAGGGTATGCAATACCTGGGAAATGGAGGTAGGGATAAGATTGTGAGTCAACAAATGGAAGCTGGGGAATGAACCCAGGTCCTCTGCAAGAGCAGTGAGCTCTCTTTACTGCTGAGTCTTCTCTCCGGCCCACCCCCTGATGCCCCTTAATCTGCTCAAACTGACAACATGACTACTGTGACAAGGAGTGTGTGTGCATGTGTCGTATTACTACTGGCAAGTTTGCATCTTCACCGAAATTCAGACTACAGTTATCCCTCCTCCAGGTAGGCTTGAGAAGAAGCTGCTAGGGTTAACTGTTAATATCATCATCTTCATCATCATTATAGGGGGTTTCAAGACAAGGTTTCTCTGTGTGGCCCTGGCTGTCCTGGAATTCATTCTGTAGCCTAGGCTGGCTGCATAACCTAATCTGTTTGCCTCTGCCTCAGGAGTGCTGGAATTAAGGAGTGCTCCACCCGCACTTGGTGTGACCCAATTATTTTACATATGTAGTATGTAAAAAACCATTGTGCTCTCTCGGTGGTGATATCCAAGTGAGATAGGTATTGGGGAAGAGATGCAGAAAGAACAAATGAGAAGCTCTTCGGGGGGACAGAATGAGAAATGAATACATTTCTCAGCAGACCTGTTGAGAAAAAGAGCCAGCTCCTAATCCCTCTTCCCCACTGGCCATAAAAACCAAGTGAACTAGTAAACACCTTGAACCTTACTAAAACAGGACTGGGTGGTAACTTCATGTCCAGCGGCCATTGCTGCGCTCTCTTGGTTTTGAATCCAAACCCAGCCCCTCCACAGCAACAACAGCTTTTTGTAAAGTCTTCACTTACCCCGTGTGAAGTAAGACGATACATCTCACTAGTTAACACGGTTTCAGATGGCTATTGCATGTGCTGACTCGACATGAAAGCCTCACACTGCTATTTCCTTCATGCAGAAACATTAAGTCCTCTGGCACATTTTAGTCTTGAGGGGGAAATGACCGTCCCTAAAACACGAAGTCGCTTTCAGAGAACTTCTCTTTTCCACCCCAGTTACTTCTGCCAACAACTCATTTTTCCATGTGCTTTATAATAGGAAGTCCCCACCACTGTAGCTCTCTGCTAGTCTGGCCAATTTCTTTTAGCTCCTCATTGAAAAATGGGGGTAGGACTCAAGATTATGACAGCCAACCAAATGTCCCCAAAAACCCATAGATGGCAAGCTCAAAGGTTTGTGGGATTTCTGTAATGATTAGATTGATTTCCAGGAAGATCAAATTAGCCCTTTCAAACACAATTGCCAGTTCTGAGTGAGCGTCAGGAGCAGAACTGTCCACAGCTCTAGACGTTCTCAGACACTGACTGACAACTGAAAACTGAAAGCCAGACCCATGCCAGCCTTCACTGACTCCCTCTGTCCGTGCAGACAGAGAAAAACAAGTGTTTGATCAAAGTCCAGTACTCCCCCCCACCCCACCGAGGGTCATGTATAACCTTTGACCACTGCTATGCAGCCCAGAGAATAGACCCAGATTCAGGGAAGTAGGTTTAAGACTTGGCCCCACCCCTGTGTAAGCTTAAAGAAGCCACTGTCTCCCTCTGGGCCCTAATTGGTAAACAGAACACAATCTCGACTCTGGGTGAACTGGGCCAAGTCCAGCCAAAGACACTGAAAGAATTGAGTTTTTAGAATGTCCCAGCCAGGCATTCTGTGACTCCTAACTCTGTCATATTTCTGATTTCTGTCTTCCAGTTTTTTCCCTGAAGAGCCAGAAAGAACTAACTAGGCTCTCAAAGAGCCACAGGGGTGTGGAGCTGCCACCAACAAACATAGCAGTAGGAAAATCTTCAGGGGACAAACCCCTGTACCAGCACATAGAAATGGTAGAAAATGCCTTTGTCACCTTAGAGGATCAAGACTGAGGTGGAGCAGATTCTCAGCTGAAGCCGACCCGACAGTGTTTCATTTTCATGTGTTTGTATCTGAATCGCGGTAAGATTCTGTGTTTACTAAACAATGACTCCAGCCCAGGAGTGTCCCCACTAGGCCTCGGTGGAACCTTTCTACAGTGGCTAACCTGGGGAGTAAGCGGTCTAGGTGGGAATCTGCAGGGAAGAGGGAGTGGGACAGCCATGTCTCCAGGTGTACCTGGGTAGACGGCATGGGCATGCATCTTACCCAAGGCTGGGTCTGACTGGTCCAAGCTCTAGAGCCTCCTCCGATCTGTTGCCCTCAGTTTGCCCAGCCCCTTCTGAGTTTCTGTGATGACTAGGTTAACTTAGGCCTTTCTCCTCATCCGAAGGCTGACAAGAACCAAACTCTCGGAGCACTCCGGAGGCACAATGTACCGGGAGTGATCTGAGGTCTCCCGCCTATGGTGACACAAGAGACTTGCTGGCGACAGGTTCTACTGTTGCCTCCTTCTCCAAGATGCCGCCTTGGCAGGACACCAGGGCACACTTCATCCGCGGTGACCTCCACGCCACAGGCAAATGCGGAGCGACAAGGGCCCCTCCGCTCAGGCACAGCCCACAGCAGTGAGAGCCAAGCAACCGAGAGGTGTGCGTTCCCGGCAAAGGCGAGAGGGTGGCCTAGGCAGCAGGGGCGGCAGAGGTGGGGAGTGCACCCAGGAGAGGGAATTCCATTCCGACGCTTGGTATTTGTTGGGAGGAAATTCGACCCTCCAGGAGCAGTGGGCTGGTGTCTGCGCCCTTTCCTGTCTGGGCTTAAAAAGGAATTCTCCATCTGCCGAGAAAAACTCGCGCGGCGGGATCCAATCCCTCTGAGTTGTGGGGAGTCCTGCAGACACCTTCACCCCCCAAGGTCCTCATTCTGAACTGCTTTCCGCACGACAAACATCAGTGCCCTCCCCCATTCCCTCTCGCGATCTACCAAGGCGATACTTGGCCAAGTTCAAATATACAAGCCTCTTTTCAACTCTGTGCATTTTGTGTAGACAGACCACCACACACGAAGACACGGTCGGTCTGATATCAGCAGAATCAAAGAAAAGACACTAGTATTCTCCTGCCTTAGCGTGCAATTATTTCTGTGTTCTTTTTCTTGCGGGGGGCAGGAGCGATAAAACCTTTTTGGAGACAGTTTGTCGTTTCTAAGTTTAGCTATTCAGTTTGTCTTCGAAATGCTACTTGAAATGTTTTTCCCCTACACAACGCGTTCAAGAATATTTTTTTCTTAAAAAAAAAAAGAATACTTATATTGCTTTGGTTAAAAAGAAAAAATGAAAAGCAACCCAACAGTATAGGGACATAAAGACAGTTGACTGAAACAACAGCATGCATGGAATTCTCAAGACACAGAGGAGATCCACTCAGGGGCAAACAAGGCTAAGCTCTCCTTAGATGAAACAGTAAGTTGCAAAAGCAATCTGTGTCCACATTTGCTAGAGTGGAGGGGAAACTGTTGTGATGCTAATCAGATGGGGTCAGCGACTTCGGAGGAGATCATGTAGGAAACTTCTATTCCACGTACACACTGCTTTGGGATGACAGGGAAGTGTGCGGCATTAACTTATCAAGGCGTCCGTTGATCTCTTTCTAAATGAGCATGTATTAGTTCATTACTTCCTCCTACGCAAAGCAGAGATTATGATGTCAGATGCCTTCCATCCTGACCCGCAGATTGCTATCACTGTCCACTCTCTGATCTTCCCATTTCCGTGTTCATCCCTTAACATCGTCTCCTCCCTGCTCAGTATCCAAAAAAGCTGCATGCTTTAATGTCTACTGCAGGTTTCCTGGTTTATATATACATGTCTTCCTAAGTCCTGTGACCCAAAAGAATGAAAGAAGCAAAAGTTAGTTCTGTTCATTCAATTTATTTCATTTTCTTTCTTCCTTCCTTTTTTTTTCTTTCTGTAATGGAGATTTGTTTGCTTATTTTTTAATATTTTATTTTTAGGGTCTGAAGAGATGGTTCAGTAGTTAAGAGACTGTTCTAGCAGAACACTAAGTGTCTCATTATCACCAATAACACACAGACACACATTTAAAAATAAAATCTTTTTTGTTTTCGTTTGTTTGTTTTTGAGACACGGTTTCTCTGTGTAGTCCTGGATGTCTTAGAACTCTCTGTAGACCAGGCTGGCCTCAAACTCAGAGATCTACCTGCTTCTGCCTCTCAAGTGCTGGGGTTGAAAGCATGCACCACCACTGCCTGGTATAGAATTATCTTTAAATATTTATTTTTATTCTTTTTAATTGTGAGTCTGTGCATATACATGCAGTTGCCCACACTGACTGTGGAGTTGTATCCCCTGAAACTAGCGTTAGGCAATTGTGAGCTGCCGGACATGGATAACAAGAACTGAGTTCAAATGCTCTGCAAGGGCAATTCATATTCTTTTTGTTTGATTGGTTAGGGTTTTTGTTTGTTTGCTTGTTTGTTTTGTTGTTGTTGTTTTTCAAGACAGAGTTTCTTTGTGAAACAGTCCTGGCAGTCTGGAACTCACTTTTTAGCTTTGAAGACCAGTCTGGCTTTGAACTCAGAGAGATGGGCTTACCTCTGCCTTAGGAGTGCTGGGATTACAAAAGTGTGCTATTACCTGCAACTCATGCTCTTAACCACTGAGTCATGTCTGCAGCCCAGGTACTCAAGTCATCTAAATGAAAACATGATATTTTGCCCTTTGGAAGCTTTCTAAGTTGTTTATTTCCTTTCTTCTTCTTCTCCTCCTCCTCCTCCTCCTCCTCCTCCTCCTCCTTCTTCTTCCTCTTCCTCTTCCTCCTCCTCCTCCTCCTTTTCTTCTTCTGCATGTTTTGGACTTTTAAAATATTTATTTATTTAGTTGTTTATGTATGTGCCTGAGTTTAATTTCATGTGTATGTGTACCATATGGATGCAGTGTCTTCTGAGGATAGAAGATTGTGAAATGCCATTGGAGTACTGGGAACTAAACCCAGGTCCTCAGTATAAAGCAGTAATCATTCTTAACCTTTGAGCTATCCCACCAGCCCTTTTTTTTTAATTAATTAATTTATTTATTTATTATGTATGCAATATTCTGTCTGTGTGTATGCCTGCAGGCCAGAAGAGGGCACCAGACCCCATTACAGATGGTTGAGAGCCACCATGTGGTTGCTGGGAATTGAACTCAGGACCTTTGGAAGAGCAGGCAGTGCTCCTAACCTCTGAGCCATCTCTCCAGCCCTTTTATGTGCTTGTTTTGCAGGACTTGGATCCATCACAGATCTCACACCTGCTAGGTGAGTAGTAATGGAGCCCCACCCCAGCCCAGTCTCACTCCTGTCTGCCTGTCTGGGCTGCCTGTCTGGGCTGCCTGTCTGGGCTGCCTGTTCTCTGCCTGCAAATATCGTCTCTCAGTGCAGCAAACCAAGAGTGACCTTTTTGTTTGTTTGTCTTTGTTTTTTTCAAGACAGGGTTTCTCTGTAGCTTTGGAGCTTTCCTGGAACTAGCCCTGTAAACCAGGCTGGTCCCGAACTCACAGAAATCCACCTGCCTCTGCCTCCCGAGTGCTTGGATTAAAGGCAGGCGCCACCACCGCCCAGCAAGAGTGGATCTTTAAAACATCATTTTCCTCTTATTCAGTCTCAAAAGACTTCATGTCTCATAGAGGAACTAAACGGAGATGCTGAAGATTTCTAGGGGTGTGAACAGGTGTAGGAAGGGAGGATGCCGGGAACGAAGCTAGAAAGGGTAATAAGCCTGGACACATGGGCTGTTGTTCCGGGATTGTTTACATCAGTTTGGATGTCATTCTAAAAACCTGAACTCAGGGGGGGCTGGAGAGATGGCTCAGTGGTTAAGAGCATTGCCTGCTCTTCCAAAGGTCCTGAGTTCAATTCCCAGCAACCACATGGTGGCTCACAACCATCTGTAGTGAGGTCTGCTGCCCTCTTCTGGTCTGCAGACATACACACAGACAGAATATTGTATACATAATAAATAAAAAAATATTAAAAAAAAAACTGAACTCAGGAAGCTGAAGAAATGGCTCAGCAGCTAAGAACTCAGACTTCTGAGAGGACCCAGATATGATGCCCAGCACCTCCATGGAGGTGCACAACCATCTTCACCTCTAGTGCCGAGGGATCTGGTGTCCTCTTCTGCCCTCCAGAGACACCAGCAAAGTATATGGTGCACACACACTATATGCAGGTACTCACCTGTACTGTAATAATAGTAATGATAGTGATGATGATGATGATAAATCTTATTTTTTTAAAAAAACAAGCTGGGTTTGGTAGCACATGCTTTCAACCCCAGCACTTGGGAGGCAGAGGCAGACGCAGGTGGAGCTCTGTGAGTTCGAGGCCATCCTGGTCTACAAAACAAACTCCAGGACAGCCAGGGCTGTTATACAGAGAAACCCTATCTCGAAAAATCTTAAATAAAAAATGATCTTGAGTTCAGTTTAAGCTCAGAGAATGAACACAGCCGTATTTCAATCACACAGAGAGGACAAGGGTTGTATGAATGTTTAAAATATTCATATATTGGGGTCATCAGGATGGATCAGTGGATAAGGCCCTTGCTACCAAAACTGACAACCTGAGCAGCCCACATGATGTTAGGAGAGAAAACAGTCTTGAAAGTTGTCCTCTGACCTTCGTACATATGTACCCATACAAACACACACACATAAAAATGTAACAAAGTCAGCTGGGTGTGGTGGCACATACCTTTGATCCCAACATTCATGAGGCACAGCCTGGTAGATCTCTATAAATTCAAAGTCAGGACTACATAGTGAGTTCCAAACTAACCAGAGCTACACAGTGATACCCTGTCTCAAAATAGGAAAAAAAAAATAGAACTGAAGAGAAGGCTTAGAGGGTAAGAGCACTAGCTATTCTTTCAGAGGTCTTGAGTTCAAGTTCCAGCAACCACAGTGGCTTGCAACCAACCATCCATAATGAGATCTGGTATCTGGTGCCCACGTTCTAGTGTGCATGTAGAATACTGTATACATAATAAGTAAATAATTTTTATTTATATATTCATATATAAAAATGGCATTCAGTAGCAATAAACAGGAAGAATCTACCCCCCCGCTTATCAAGAGACCTGATGTAGGGTTTTGCTTTTTTTAAAAAATTTGTTTGTTCTGTTATGGTAAGGGGGGTATTTTTGTTTTTTATTAAAGGCATGTGCCACCACAGTCTGATTCTTTTACACACACACACACACACACACACACACACACACCATGTTTTCTTCAGGTATGGAGATTGCTCAGTGGTTAGGGTTGCTTGTTGCCCTTGCAGAGGACCAGGTTTCAATTCCTAGCACCCACAAGGAAGCTCAAAATCATCTTTAATTTCAGTTCCAGGGGATCTGACTGACATCCTCTGCTGGTTTCTGTGGGCATGCACACGGCACACATGCATGCAGGCAAGGCATTCGTACACATACAGCTTTAAAAAGTAACTAAAGATATTTTTTAATCGTGTTTCCTTAGGTTCTCTAAATACGCTAGGCTCACACTCACAGTGTAACTTAAGCTTTTTCACAGGCTGGTTCCCCACCCTCCATCAGGGTCCAAAGACAGGTGCTCTGAGTTCCAATCTTGACTCCACCATAGTAGCTCATGACTCTAGTCACCATCTTTAACTTCCCTGGGCTTCCCGTTCACCCTCTCTGGCCTACAGGGAGCACTGTTGCTTACAACAGCAGGCCGCTGTGAATGGCAATGCTGCTGGAGCTCTAGGAAGTGAGACACAACTGTCACTTCCTCTTTCTGAACCCTGGAAAAGCCCATCCTTCTCAATTCTCCTTTCTTTTTTTTATTTTTTATTTTTATATTTTTATTGATATTTATTGAGCTCTACATTTTTCTCTGCTCCCCTCCTTGACTCTCCCCTCCCCTTCGACTCTCTCCCAAGGTTCCCATGCTCCCAATTTATTCAGGAGATCTTGTCTTTTTTTACTTCCCCAATTCTCCTCTCCTGATATTC